ACCTTCATGATGATGAATAAATATTAGCGAACTTTACAGAAAATATCTCCAAAATTAATGGAAGTCATGGAAAGAATCAAAATTCAAAATAACGGACAATTTAGGATTATATTTCGGTTGTTTAAAATCATTAATTGAGAGACTGCTGTACCAGAACAGTTACTTCTCAAATATGATGAAACAATCCACGACAACTACAGTCCAATATAATTGAAAAAATACTTCCAGAAATGGATCAGATTGATATCATTCATTATTTACCTCATCATGAAATTGTAACAGCAACAACCAAATTTGGAATCATTATGATGCTGCATCCCACTCAAAGGGGATAAAACGTTTGAATGACGTCTTACATCGTGGACCAATAAGTTTTCCTGATTTAACAGGAATATTATTCCGATTTTGAATGATAAGTGATAATAGCGAATATTGAAATATGATAATAGCAGATATTGAAACTCGATTCCTGTGGTTAAAGGACATCCGAAGGCAAGTAACAAAAGATAACATTCGATGTTAGAATGCCTTGTCACCTGTACAATGAATTAGAATCAATACATATTGTTAGCAATAAATAATTAGCTTTTTAAATTTGAAAAATTACGTCATTTTTCAAATTTATAAAACTAATTATTTATTGTTGACGCAAATGTATTGGATTTTATAAAATAGATTGCACATTTTTCATTAAAAAATAACTTTAAAGAAAAATTAAAAGCAAAATTTAAAAATTAAAGAAAGATTAAAGAAAGTATAGAATAATAAGTCACCTAGGAAATGTCTTACCATTTGATTCTCACCTGTCCTTTTCAATCTTTCAATTCACTCAGTAAAAATATTTTGTCAGAAAACAGTCCAGGATTTTCATATTTGATAAGGTACGAAAGTACGCAGTTAAAACAAAAATAAAAGAAATCATTCTTCAAGTTTAAAATGTGAAAAATACCGAGAAATTTTTGCATTTTTTAATTTAAATTTCAAACCCAACTTGAAAAAAGTAATCTTTTTCGTAAAATAACCACAGCTTTGGATCGATGATAACCCAATCGATTAGTAATCAGTAATAAATGAATAATCTCACGGATTGCTTAATAAATAAATAAATTATGAATATTGATAAAAAATCTACAGTTAAAATTACAAAAAAAAGGATATAACAAACTTTTGATAAGAAATTGTTCCTTCCTTTATCGCATCTGGCATAAAAGTTCGTTTGCAAGCAAAATATATAACAATTTTTTGCCAAATTACAATGAAATCTTCGCAAACGGAAAATCTGTACAACAAAAGAAACAAGAAATAAAATTTTCGTAAATTAAATTATTTGTGTTAAAAAGAAAAGGAAAAGATGCAAAACAATGATGCACTTTGTGATATTTTTGTTATCAAATGAACAACAAGAAAAAAGAAAAGAGATTTTATTTTATTGATAATTTGAATAAAGTATTGAAACTTTTTTCGAAATTAATATTCGAAAAATGATTTAATGATTTTTTTTCTTATGCGGTATTTTTTTCATACTGCTTTCTGACGCAGTGAAATTGATTAATGGCGTTTTATTGTAAAACAATTATCATGTTTTTTCAATATCATATTTTCTCATCCATGTATTAATTACAAGATTTTTAATTTTCAAAAACATTGGTTTTTATTTTTCATTCAATATTTCTTCATTCGTTTCTTGTCTATTTAAAACTTTTAATACAATCATTTGATAGCTATTCACTTTTTTCTCTTATTTCCAACTTTCATTGTTTCTAAAAATATGATTTATATTCTATTTCAATTAATTAATTAATTCTGAGAAAAATTTTTAAAGTAAAAATATAATTTTTAATTTTTTGCAATAAACATATACTCTACAACAGTTATAGCAAAAAGTGTACAAAAGATTTACATGAACACCGTTGTGTGTGAAACTTATATACCTGTGACATCCACATGTTTAATATGTCTGCTACATTTTACCTGTTATACCTGCATATCAGTTACATTTTTTTTACACTTATTACTTTTGATGCACTCTATTTAAATGAGTCAAAACTGTCAACTAACATTGAAATATACATGCAAAGAATTTGAGAATTTAAAATAATTTAACATTAAATAGAATTGTTTAAGAAAGAAATTAAGAAATAAACTGAAAAATTTTTTTGCTGAAACTAAATGATATTTAGTTTGATGATTATACCAAAAAAAATTTTCAGTTCTTTTATTTCATTCATTTAAATGATTATGTTACTATCAATAAAATAAAAAATTTTATTATAAAACATCAAATCAGAAATGATTACATTCATGATAGTTCATTAGATATCATTCACTCAAAAAAAGACTCCAAAGTTAAAAATACGATAAAATTCTATGCAATTTTTTACATTTTAAATTATACGTAATGTATGGAAATTAAATACTAAATCTATGTTTCAATGGAAAAATGATTTTATTTTAAAATAATAGTTTTGCAATATATAGGATGAAACATATTATGATTGCTCAAGAACGATGAATTTTTTTCAAATATGTATGTGAAAATTTGTTAAGTGTTATTTACATCAAAAATTTTAGTTCAATTTGATTTTAAAATTTCATTGTATTTGTATTGGTTGAATTTCTTAGAAAAAAAAAGAATTTGACACTAATCTTTTAAAATGCATTCATTTTTTTAAGTTGATGAGAAAACAAAGTTGCAAATTAGAAAAAACAATGAAAAGAACTGGGAGTAAAATGAGCATTTGAATTAAAAAAATTGAAAATATGCTAATAAAATTAGAATTTTTCTTTCGTCTTTTTCTTTTTATCGGTGCAGTAGTTTAATGAGATCATCATTTTCATGCTAACAGTTTATCTTTGATTGCTACATTCTTCAAATTGCCGTCGTTTTCATCGCTTTTAAAATCTGCATAAAATTTGTTTTTTCAATTTAGCAAAATTATTCGATAAGTTGAAGAAAATTTTTAATCAGTTCATTTTTTTAAAAAAAATCGATTTTTTCTAAATTGACTATGGTAGATGTATCATATCACTTAAGTGACAAATATAGCATAACTTCTATAAGAAAAATGTGATATAATTTTGATGAGAAAAAAATTCAATTAGCTTTTGAACTAATATGTAGATAGCTTCCGAAGATTATGTGAAGCAAAGTAGTAATACATAAAAGGAAACTTGACTAGAGATTACATTTCAGATTAAATTTCAAATGTCAAGCTAATTGATTGAATTAATCAGAAATATTGCAAATAATTCAAAAGTATTAAATTTAATTTTGCTTGACGTACGACTATTTTTGTTTTTAGTTTTAAAAGTACAAACCTTTATTAATAAATCCGAACAAAAACAATGTAATTACATGACCAACAATCCAAATAATTAATAACGGTTTGAGCCATTTCCGACTAATCACTGATCGATTGATTGTATTATCACATTCCTCAATTTTTTCTGTTCTATGTTATGGATGATGGAGAAAAACGATTTCTTTTTATGTTTGATTTATGGTCAGTCTTGTTTGATTTCAAATTATTTAATAGCGAATGAATTTTATCAATATCTCGGTTTAACTAATATTTAAATCTATTTCATTCTCAGCTATATAATTTTAAATAATAATTTTCAAATAATTTTTAGGATTCGAAAAAGTTTTAAATTTTGCACTTTTTTTCTTAAATTATAGTATAAATAAGAAAAAAGTTTAAAATTTCCTCCTAACTTTTTTCTTTTTTGATTTGTAACTGTTCATTTTGTTTCCTCATTTTCACTTCTTCTAATATCAATTATCTTTTGTACAACGATTAGCTACAATTTCGTGGGGTAATTTCTAACAGATTTAAAAGACGCCAATTTATTTGTAGGAACATCTTTGAAATATTTTTAAAGAATTGAAAATTTCATTGATCAAAGGTGACGTTTCATCGAAACTTACAACAGTTGGATCAAGTTCCTTATCATCATCCGAAATGCAATCAAGTCCTTTTTCAATTTCGGTCAAGAATATTTCTTCCTTTACCGAATTTTCAAATAATTCATAAAATAATTTATTATCAGCTGGTGACGTTAGATAGAGCCATATCAATGTTATACCATTCAGTGATACTATAATGATAAATAGGGCTGCTAATATATACATTATCAGTAAGCGTAATATTCGCTGAAAAACTATAGATGGTTAAACTTTACTTTTAAAAATTTTATCGTTTAATACTAGTAAAATGGCATATGATAATTTTTGTGACAAAATAGATCAAACAAATTGATATATTTAAAGCATCGTGCGAACTCTTAATTTAAGTTTAATGCCCTGTATAAGAAAATTACAAGAAATAACTCTTTTTTTTTTAATTTTGAAAAAAATTACCTCTTGAGTTTCTTTTGGTTTTTTAAATCTAAAGAAAAATGGCATAATTAATAACATTGCTATAAATATCGCTGCCGTTGATGTGCACCATAATAGCAGCAACTTTTGCTCATGCTGAGATTTTATTAATAATAATAAATAGTAATAATAATAAATCAAACAAAAGAACAAGCAAAAATGATTACCAGTTTGATTTCAACTATCCGAAAATATAATTTGAAATCAAAAAATTAACTTAAAGAAGAATAAAAAACAAAAACTACATTAAAAAAAATACTGCCATTATATTGCCATTAGAAAATCGAACAATGAACAAATTTTTCAGTACTTCTGGTATTCTTAAAGGAATTTTAAAAAAAGTGAAAAAAATTTAAATAAATACGAACATTTTGCAGGATTTGTCGCTCTTTGTTAGTCCAAACGAATCCTTCAATTTCTTTCCGTTTAGTGTCGTCGAACATGTACATTGCTATTGGAAATAATATTGTACATAATTCGTAATACTTTTGCGCCACAGCCATTGACATGGCGGAAACGACAAGCTCAAAACCACAAAGAAGGAAAACTGCATATTTGTGAAATGGTGGCAAACAGCCACCCCATTGAAACAAATATGTTTTCATTTAATGCCTGCAAGAAATTATATTTATGTAAATTATCAATTATTTAATTAAAATTATGCAAATATACAAACAATTAAAAAAATTAAAGAAACAAAATTAAAAAAAAAAAGAAACAGACAATTAAAAAGAAACAAAAAGAACTCGATTGCCGTGAAATATTGATCGTAATTGTTGATAATTATATTAATATTAGAGTTCCGGAGAAATTCTGTACAACAGCTAAGAACTGTCACTGATGTTTTTAATCAACAATACAAGAATGATACGAAATTTATCTTCAAATTTAAATATTGAATAATCAGTTATTTCATAAAAATGCAAAGGATTAATTTTCAGTTTTTATACTATCATTTTCCATATTATTTTTCATATCTCATTTTCCATGTTCTTTCTAACTAACTGTTTACGTACATGTTTAATAACTTTTGAACAAAAAAATATGTACGTCATTATTCAATGTTATATTTGGTTAGCATTTACTTTATTTAACTTTATTTGAAATTTAGTTAATGTAAAATTATTAATTAGAAATGATCATAAGAAGTTTTTTTTAATTGCTTCTTGAAATGATTATTTTTATGTAATAACCTTTTCTCAAGGCAACATATCATAAAAGTTTCATTCAATTTTACCGAAATTTATTTCTTTTTTCAATCTTTTTAAATTAGAAAAAAAAATGCTAGAAACGAAAAATGGAAAAGATATCGTTCTACAACAAGCAGCTAAATTAGTTACTAGACAATTGCCAGCAATAGAGATGTGCATATTACTGATAAGATAAGAATAAAATTTTTCAATTTTCATTCTGAGCACTTTTTTCAATCAATAATAAAGCAAATTATGAGAAATTTACCAAATTAAAAAAAATGATTTTTTAATTTATTTCTTTCAAAATATTTTTTACAGGTTTTGCATATTACGATTTAAATAATTTTTGAAAGAAAATTCAAAAGACAAAAAATAAAAACAAATGTAAACCTTTTTGATTTTTAAATTTATTTTCCTTCAAAAATTGTTTCTACAAGTTTTACATGTTGCAGCTGAATAGATAATGAACACATTCTTAAATAATTTTTATAATTTCTGAAAACATTAATGAGAAATTTGCTAAAGTTACTTAATGATATCCAATTAATTACTTAAAATAATAATATTTCGTCCGGTAGTAATTCAAAATATTTCGACTAATGCACATCAATGAAAATTCATCCTAATAGATTCCTTAACCTTTCAACTTCATGCATCGAGGTTTGGAATGCATAAATTTTGTTCACATATACCTTTTTAAAAGATTGTTTCATTTCAAAAATAACTTTGTAAAATTTAATTTCTAAATAATCAAAACGATATGGGAACTTTTTAAAAGAAACGAAAGATCATTTCGTAAAAAAATTAAAAATGCAAGTATATGTCACATATATTATATATATATATATGTATGTCATTCTGCCATCACATCTCTCCCAATCAATTGTTGCCAACCTATAAAAGTATATGCTTTATTGTTTCTTCCCTCTATGGCGGGGGTGGAGAGGGGGAAAGGTGAGAGGGACAAATACTTTATGGAAAGCTGTATAAACAAGTTTTCGCTGTTGACAAATTCAAACAATTATTACGCAAAGAATGCAAAACATTCGTTTTCACAATTTATCTGTGATGTTATCATGAAGGAAAAAAAGATAGTTTTCTCATTTCGCAATGAAATTAGTATCCAATTATGATATTTCATTGTTTTCCCATCTGACAATCTCTAGTATTCCATTTCCAGTATTCCATTTCCAGTATTCCATTCTTCTACACACATTATGCTATAGTAAAATAATCATGTAATCTTCATTATTCATTTCTCAGC